CTATGCCTCTGAGACATCTGCTGACTCGGAGTTACGGTAATACCGGATAACTTGGGTATTAATGCCAAATTGCAAATGAGGTTTGCTCTGCTGGGCCAGCTCTCAAAAGGAATGAATGTTTTAGGCCCGCAACTGTGTCTGTGGTCTCATGAAAAAGTATAGCTCTCCTGGTTTTCCATTTTTTTGCCATTAAAGGAATTATTTCATCCTGCCCTTTGCTTGTCCTCTGGTTAAAGTTTGCCTCCCTGGCAAAAGGTTCAGTGGCCTATAAAAGCGCAACTCAAATCTGGAGACTCACCCAATATAATATCCCAAAATCCGCACTTCGTCATCAGCAGTAACTTTACTCACACCCCCTGCGGACCCGCCTCTTCATTCCCGGCTTGCAGTTAGCCGCTATTTCACCGAGCAAACCCCTCTGACCTGGCTCCGGTCTAACACGGCAGCCAAACCAGCTCTGTTTACCCCCGGAGATAGCTGGGCTGTACAAACACCCCAGCTCGGCCGGCTGCGGTGGGGACTGCAGCCCTTTGCAGCTGCGTCCCAGTTTGTCAAGGTGATTCCTGCAAGTATTTCACAAGCCCCTTTGCTTCCAGTGAGACCGAGATGTGGAAACTCACCTGCGATGTAAATACCTTAAATAAACAGTGCTTGCAACTTCCCAACAGGGTTTCCCAGCTGGCAGCGATGCCGGTTATGGAGCAGGACCATGCTGCCCGTGCATGCACGCTGCCTGGCTCGGGATTGCCCTCCTTTCCCTCCAGCTTGCTGTGGGGGAGCCATAAAATCAGATGTGTCAACAGCACTTCCAAGAAATGAAGGCAATCAGTAAAAATTGGGCTGGAAAACAAAATCCATTCTGCTTTCTTCACAGAAAGTTCATGGGAGCTGCCTGCTCTGCCCTTCCTCAGGCAGGCTCCTGTAAATCGATGTATTAGTAGGTCCTGCTTCTCCGAGCCAGGCTGTGTAGGGGCGCCCATACGGAGCAGAAGGGCACGTTCATCCAGCCAAAGGCAGAAATGCCGCGAGGCTTTTTCCTTCCCACGCCAGAGCAGAATCTCTCTGTCTCTGAGCTGCACAGCAGAGGATCCAGGTTTTGTCCTGGTCCTCAGGGCTCGGTCCCCAGGGATGGCCAAGGAAACTCCTCCTGGACAGCGGATCCGTGCACCTTTCCAGGCTCTGGCAGAAGGCAAGATCCAACCAACGATAGCAACAAAATTTGTGCCCCCTTTTCTTACTCCCCACTTAGCCCCTCTCTAGCCAGGAGCTTGCTTTGACCCTCATGGCTTGCTTCAGAGCCCTGGAAGTCAGATGGTTTTCCCTGGAGCCTCCAGGCTTGGTTCCAGCTTGAAAACCCTTCTGCTAGGAGACACCCCCCCACCCCCCAAGTCCCCCCCCAAGCAGCTGAGCCCAACCTCAGGAGCTGTCGCTTAGCAGCCATGCTCTAGCTGCTGGCCTGGCCCACAAAATATCTAGATTTCACAAATATAAAGCAGGTTAATTTAAGCCATCACAGCCTGCGATAGTCTGACAGCTCCCTCAGGGTCCTTATAAAACTAAGATTTACGCAACCGTCAGACTTGCAATATATTGTAATGCTCTGTAAACCTTTTAAACAGAGTGGTCTGGCCAAGACGCAGCTGGATTTACTCTTGTGCTCAAAAAAGAGAAGTGTGGGCAAAAAAAGTGAATCCTGACCAACCAAAGCGGTTCCCAAGACTATTTTACTGAAATGATTTCAGTCCAGATGATATGTAAAAGATGGCTCTTTTTAAAAAGAGGGTACCCTTCCCTTCATTTAAGCAGCGAAAGCTCACGATGAACATGCTCTGACATCTTGTAAGCCCTTCAACAAAGCAAAAAGTAGCAGCAGTAAGTTTGTACATTAATTGCATAATAAAAGGTACCTGAGTTTAGACTTGTACTGTCGGTTCTGCCACACCCGCAAGCGTGTTTATTTAAACCACATCAGCCTTGACTACAAGGACTCGCTGGCACAATAAAATAAACCCAACACAATTCTTTTTTTTTTGTCTTGTTGGTAAACTTCAAATCCTTGTTTCTGGTCTGGGTGCGTAATTTTCCACCGTTCCCAGTGAGTGCCAGTGGATCTCAGGAGCTTGTCCTGCAAAGACACAAACTAGGGACTGATCAGTTCAGGGAGGAAACTAAAGGACGATGAGGAGCCCTGAAGGACAGAAAACGGGTGCCTGACGTGGAGCCCTTGTTGCGAAGTGACAAACATCACCTCTTCGCAGCAGCCAGGGGTCTGAATAAAAATAAAGCGGCTCTATCCAAACTGAGCAGAGCAGGGAGTTGCTTGAGGCTTCCCAGACTGACCTGCTCTGGCCACCATGGCTACCAAAGGTTCCCACCGGGCAGCATGGAGAGGGCACCAAAGGACTTGCAGGGCACAGAGCAATGAAGCAGAGTGGTCTCCAGTTTTAAACACCCAGGTAACTCGCCAAGGTCAGCTCCTGGCTGGGCCTCATAAGCAGCAATGGAAACAGCAGTGAAAGCATTTAATATCTCGCCTGACAAAGCTGCGTCACTCCCACCAGTTGCACGTGACGTGCACAAGGCCAAGGAGGAGACTATTTCTTTTTTCCTGGTCCCATTGCATGCTGTAAGTCAAGGTTATAATGCACGGGTGAATCCCCCACATAACAAAGCTGGTATCTCTTGTCTCTCACAGCTGATGTTTTGGAACAGTAATTCATATTTGTCTCCCTGGATACAGAGAGCTGAATAACAACTTGGATTAGCACCACACAGCCTTGCCCTGAGGACTTGCCGTCACTGATGAATAAACCACCACCTCTGCTTTGACATCCCTCCAGGGCAGAATGTGGGATACTTTCCAAGCATCGCTTGTGAATAAAACCCACTTCCCTTTCCAATCCTACACAGGGCAGGCAACAAGCTCATCCTTCTTGGGCAAGCAAGCTGGCTATTTAACACACGGTGACCCAGGCTCTCCTGACGCAGGCAGAGGCTGCTGCCCTTATTAGGAGCTCCCCAGCACAGGGTAAATGAGATCACGGTAACACAATGTGGGATACAGGAATGATCAGCGTGAATGCTGTGACTTTGACCTAGTGATGGGAAAGGCAGCGTTTCACTTGATGCCAATTCTACGTCCTTGTCCCCAGCGTGCTCCAATGCCTCTTGCCTTTTTTTTTTTTTTCCTCTCTTTTTTTAAGGTCCCCTTTGGCCTTTGTTCTCTGCTTCATTTGCTTTTGATGCTGGGAATTTGAGATTGGGCCCAAAATGGGTATTTTTTGAAAGGTGAACATCGATCATTGATACTTTTTCTAGCAAAGGTCAGCTGCAGGAGAGCAACAGCACAATCCTGCACCGCTTGGGACCTGGTCTAGAGGAACACAAAGTGGGGCAAAAGGAGTACCAAAACCATACAAGATGGACAGGATCACATTATCCATACTGAGGAATCTCCATATCACCAGGAGAACAGATTCAGGGAAACAACTGCCACCTCAGTTAGTGGTGAGTAGCCACCCCTCCAGCCAGTGAGCAATTCCACAGACCTGTGCCCACAAAATCCTGAAGGCCCTTCAGCCTTTAGAGAGGAACAAGGATTGGTGTTTCAACGCATTGAACCAGACACTTCTCTGCACAGTAAAAAAGCAAGCCACACGCAACCAAGAGGCAGTAGATAAGCTGCAACAGGAACACTTCAACTAGTTAAGAAAATGACGAGTCACTAACTTTCAAGTTTGCCCTGTTTTAGTGGGGTTAGACCGGAGACCTTCAAATGTCTCTTCTGCACTAAACTGCCTTACTGGACTAAGCCCCAATTTGGGATTTTTCCAGACAGAAGACATGAGGTAACAGGAAAGACACCTAAGATGCCCTAGGCAAGAACATGCTTGGCAAATACCTTGGTTTGGTATTGTGTTTTAGCCTCACAAGAGGCAGACACTGCCAAAGCACTCTATGAGGGGTTTCCATCCTACTGGAAAGGAGATACACAGAAAGCAAATCCATAGTGTTGTGCTCCTCAGGAGGGGAAGATGCAGGGCTTCACAGGCACAAACCATACCCTGGTGCTTTTGCCAGGAAGCTGATGAACAGTTCATTAGATCATCTCTGGGTCAGATTCAGAGTTTAACAAAAAAAACCCCACCAAACCAAAACCACGGACTAAGTCAGAAATCACTTTATTGAAAAATTTATACAAGAATAGTCAGTGGCAAAAATATTCAAGTGTGGTACAGCAACATTACAGACAAGCTCCTTACACATCTCAATTTGAGGCCAATTCATTTACAAACAGCCACTGTTTCCACACAGCTTTCCAGAGACATGTGCTGCATCCCATCACGTCAGTGAGTTTCAGCGCAGGGAGCAGAGTCTGTCTTTACATCAACTAAGATTAGCTATGACTGATTTTTCCTGAGAAGTATGAAAGGCCCTGTAGAGAATGCTGTTTGCAACATAAGGCACCATTCCCACCCACCCCAGCTCATTCAAAACACTGACTGAATGCCTGTAACAAGATATTTTGCCAATAAAAATCTTTTAGAAAACCACTATAAAAAATGCTATATATATTTCCCCTTTACACAAATACTACTCTTTAAAAAAATAACGACATTACATTAGAAATTCACACAATATTAACACATTACATCTCTCTGAAATACTCTGTGCAGCAGAAGCCCCATACAGGACCTGGGCAGTTAGAAGACAGACCAGTAGCTCCCTTTTAGTTCTGCTGTCTCTACAACAGCTGCCAAAAATTTGGCCATCGCAGTTTTAGGATTTAGAAAGTAGAAAGCTGCAAGATGGCAAACCAAGCATTTGTAAATCAGTACCATCCCTTCTCAAGAAGAAAAAACCATCACAGGAATCTTTTGATTAAAAGATATTAGATATTACTTGTTGCTGGTGTCAGTGAGACAATACAGTTTTGACTGTTTCTATGTCAGTTTTTATTTGCAGAGTACCACTTCATGTGCCAGAGAGGTACCCGCAGCATCTTTCAGTGATTTCTGGTGTGCTAAGAACATACAGCTGAGCCACAGGAGGAGCAAATAAAACCATCAGCTTGCTTTGTTTCATGAAAAACCACAGTAAGACACTAACAGACACAGGGTTGTGAGCCTGCTGTCTGGAAATAATTGATTGTTCCCTAATTCAGTTTTCAGCAGCCTGGAAGGTGTTGCATAGACGAGCAATCACTATCTTGCCCCCAACTTTTCCAGGCAAAAAGAGTCAAAGCCCCTGCAGCCTTCATACACAACTATGCAGGAAAGGAGCTGAATCCCCAGGGACTGAGGGTACTGCCATGTGTGAAACCCACTCTGGTGACTTAATCTTCCCAAATTACTCAGCAAGAACTTAGTAACTCTCTGCATAACCTTGGAGAATACCAGGAGTGGGCTTTACATTTGAGGTTGTACAAATCAGATGATTTGCTTCTTTAAGAAAATAGCAGTTACCCATTCAGACACGGATAGCATAGGAATTTGTTTTTGTTAGGGGGGATTTTTGTTTGCTTTCTTTAACAGAGAGCTGGCAACAGCCAGAGCCCCTCCCTGTACAAAGCGTACAAAGTTATCTCCAGCTAGAGGTCCTAGAGCATAAAGCCCTTTCTCATGAGTGCATTCATAGGTGAATGGGTCAACATCTATGGGATTCCTCTTTGGATTGACTGGTTGGTCACCATCCATTGCCAAGTCAAGGCCATTATTTGGCAGAAAGGAGAGGTTGGGGTTTGAGCCAGTTAGAACAAGAGCCATGGAAATTTTATAAACTTTCTGGTAACCATTTTTGTCTTGAAAAACACATTTCTTGTCCTTGCCGAAGGATAGCACATGATGTTCAGGAAGGCTAATATAACACTCATAGGGCCCAGCACAAGCAGCTGACTGTTCTTTCATCATCTGATGGACTTTGTGGTATTCAGGGTACATCATTTTGGGGAGCTGGTTAAAAATAAGACCTGGATCACTGACTCGTCTCCGAAAAACATGGATTACTGGAATATTACAATGGTGAGCAAAGAGAATCGCATCAGCGGCTGTCAGACCAGCACCTACAATCAAGACTGGATCCGACGTGATGCCAATGCTGTTGTTCTTCACTGCTTCCTCTAAGGCAGACAGCTTGTGATGGACATAGGAAAGGTTCTCTCCCTTGACCCCAAGCCAAGTAGGACTATCATAGGTTCCTGTAGCTAAGACCACATTCTCTGCATAGATGGAAAAGGGCTCTTTATCACCTTTCACAGTTTTGAAAAATCCATCCACCTGGAAGACCTCCATACTTTTCTCATTGAGGCTCCAGAGTGAGTCACAATTCTCCTGCAGATCTTTCTGTGCATGGTTGGAGATGCTCTCTGCACTCACTTTCCTCACAGAGGTCACAACAGTACCACATCTGAAATTCTTCTGCAGTCCTTTCTTCATCACATAGTGTTGGTAATATTGAGCAATGTCTTCTGCTGTGGCTCTGTTGTTCCTGAGGCCTCTGTAACAGAGTACAAAGGTCAAGCAGCAGTTAAGTAAGAGGCTGGAATTTCTCCCCTCTTCCACTGAATGTATCCTAGAGCCACCTATCTTGGCACTACCAGAGAAGACTTATCTAGTTTCACCTGACGCCAGCAAAGTTATTCCTGGTATATAGAGCTAACACTCAGGTCCACAAGCTGTTGGACAGAGGCAGCTTTCTCTAGCATGAATCTTGTCCCTAAGAAGATGCTTGCTGATTTATGCCTTCCTCTCACATCTCGCTTCTATTCCATTTTTAACTCCTGCACTTTAAGATTAACTGTTACACATCTCAAAAGCAGAAGTACCTCAGAGACTGCACAGTAGCTGAGCTGATTATACTTGTCTTTAGGGACAGCAGCAGTAGACACAGAAGTCAGATGACCATGCCTATTCAGAACTCACGGTCACTGTGATCCATCTCTCCAACGGGTGTTGAGAAGGACACATTCCAAGCAGCACTGCAACTTTACCTGAATCACTAAATGCAGAATAGACTTTTACTGGGGGTAGGAGACTGTCCTTTCTTTCACTAGAATCATCCATAATGGATGTGTAGCTACATTCAAGAAGTCCACTCCAAGTTCCCAAATAACCTCCAGATGTTTGCAAATAATCACATCATAGATATTCTTACCTTCTCTTTTGCTTTAGCCAGTCCTTAAATGGGAGATCTGGGAGTCCCATCCATTCCCCTCTGCTCAGGGTAACCATAGAGCCCTCAATAGACTGGAACAAGAAACACAGAAAAATGACTTTTAGTTATTTAACATAAGAAGTGAAATGCAATTTTGTCATATTTCAGTATGACACAGATCATGAAATCAGTGATTTTCTCTGATCTGCTTTCATGGATGAAACCGTCCACGCTGCCCAAAGAGAGCAACAGACTGGAAATATGTCTCGTGCTCCCCCCCCACCCCCCGGCCTTTTAAACTTTTTCTTGTCTATGAAGTGGCTGACTGACAGAGGAACTTTTGCCTCTCCAGTCAAGGCATTTGGCTATATCTTACACCACGCAAACCTAAGCAGTTATGCTTCAGTTCACATACATGCCAGGCACCTCCAGGAGCATTTCTGCCAAGGACCAGATGGGGGATGGCTCTGTCAGTCTCGTGCCACCAAGTAAGGACAGATTCTGCTGTTCCACCAAAGTCTGTGTCGGGACGCTGAAGAGTATCAAACAGAAGAGCCACAGGGCTGTGGGATCGTCCCTCCAAGCCTTCAGACAGATACTCCAAATCCTAAAGAAAGGCAGATCAGATGCTCAAAATGTATGCCCTGCCAGGCAGCAGACTACTTGTCACTCCAGTATTTCCAATCAGTGGTTTTGGTGTTGTGAACTGATTTACTGGCACACAGACCCTGTTATTACCCAACAACTATCTCAAGGATCTTAGCAGCAATGCTGACATTTCATACAAGGGACATCTGGACAACTAGAAGTACTTTGCTTAAGGCTCATTCTATCTGTGCACTTTGAAAATTCATGTGAGATTATCACTTTAATATACCCCTAGGATGCTTTACTATGATGTTATATTGTTTCTCTTTACACAAACCTGGTCCAAAATGGAGACACCTGGTGCCTCTTCCAGTTTCCTCTGAAGAATGGGATGAGGATGAAGAGATTCTCTTTTGAAGTAAGGGATGTAGCCTGACAGCAAATATGAGAGACAGATTCCTGAAGGTCCATTCCCTAAAAAGAGACAACAGAGAAGAATTTATACTCCTGCAGATACAGCAGCCTTTTGAGAAGCATTTCTAATATCCAGATCAATTCAAAGGATAATACACTGCTGCAGATACAGGCGACTTTCTATTCCAGGTTGACCACTGACCTATTGGATGGAGTTGGGGAAGTTGTTTTACCCATTTATGTCCCCATCTTCTCCTCAGCTGCATCTATTTGCATTGCAAGGTCTTCAGAACTTGCTGAAAAGACATCAAGTTAAGCCAGAGCTTAACCTTGCCTTAAGCTTGAAGTCTCTAGCACACTGATGAATTGAGTTATGGCTCATTAATTTCTTTAAAGGTTTAGAAACTGGTCACATACTGACTGGGGGGGGTCTCACCTCTCCTGGATGCACATTTCACACCAACGCAGAGTAGTTCATTGTGCACAGGATACAGAATAAGTCCAGAAATGAGACTGACTATTCAAGTGAAGGGGAAACAGCTCTGCTCAGTAAGAAATCCCATCTAATAAGGAATATCTGGCAATAGCTGTTTTGACTAATGGTTCTTGAGGACACTTTCAAATGGGAACCAGTCCTACCGTGGTATGGCAGGCAGTGCGTTAAGGAAAAAAGTCTCTCTGTCATGCCAAGGCACCCCACACAGAATATAGCACTTTGAACAGATTGCTGGATGACTGAACTCCTCCTGCTGACCACCCAACAGCCTGTGGAAAAACTTGATATATGTGTCTCCAGAGCTCAATGACAGTAGGCCATGGAAAGTTTTCACATGGCTGTTCTCCAGTATGTTTAATATTCTACAGTGTCCGCATAACTAGGTGTCAGCCTCTCTGGCTGCTCAGGCTCTGCCGCTCACTAGTATGTGACTAACCATTACATAATGCAGTGATGATGTAGGGGAGGAGAGCTGAAGTGACACAACAGCCTGCAGCAGGCTGCGATGGCACAGTGCCCCTGCTGCCTGCGTAAGCAACTGGAGCAAAGGTGGCTGCTTAGGGATTTGAGATAGAGGGAGGCTCAGGCTGTAAAGCTAACAGCGAGCGGAGCTATGTGGAGGGCAGTATGTGCCACAGCTGGGGCCAAAGTCTGCTGTGCTGAGCAAGGACCAGCAGCTGCAGGTCAGTGTTTGGAATATTCCACTTGCAGGAAAGTTATCTAAAAGCAACAGCAATTAAAAGCAAACTAAACCACAGCTATACTAAGGCGTAACACCTTTCAACTTACTCCTTTGCTTTAGGCAGTACAAGGAGGTACCCAAGGCAAACTTAATCATTGGAGTGTACAACACTCAGCAACACAGACGACTTACTCTGAACCACACCTAAGTTCGATATGGATGGTCACAGCTTCCTCCAGGACTCAGACTATTCTAGAAGGCAACTGCTTTCATGAGGTTGCCAGCACAGCAGAGGGAGTCCCCAGCCTTCTCCAAGCAGAGCCTGAGGAAGTGCTGGAACCTGCGTGCAATGTGCAGCTGCAGTGAAACAGCTGAGCTGCTTCAGTCCAACAGCCTCCTCAGAGTACACATCTCCACCCCAGTGCTTCTGAGGCTTTAGTGATATATCCACACTGGATCCCTGTGTAGGTGTACTAGGGATGTACCAACATATCCTCTCTGCCACCTAAAGACTTGTACAGCTGGGCAGTACAAAGTCACTCTCAGACTAGAACCTGCTGGTAGTAATGTCCTTGTCAAACTTTCTGTTAGCAAGGATTAAGTGTGATTTATGTGGTGCACTAACTTTGGACTAGCTCTCATGGGAGCTATAAATTAGATGACAGATAAGGAAGGAACCCAGCTCTACAAGGCATTTAAACACATGCTCAGATGAACAGGGTGCAACACCTGCACTCAAGCGCAGCTCATGATAGGTCACAGAGGGGAAGGCACTGACATCACTGGTGCTTTGCTCCAAGAATCCCCTCACATTACAAAGCTCTTGCAAGACGAGACAGTTACTACATAACCTGCTTTCTAAACTGGTAGAAAACCCACAGCTTTTAACCATTCTATTAAATCTGTATAAAATCAGTGTAGCTGACTTGCATTTTAAAATAAGTATGTGAGAAATTGAGAAACTTTAATAGCATTTGAAGCACTTTCTAGACACACACAATGGGAAAAAAGATCGCACAAACCCACCTCCAACTCAAGCACTACAGAGAATCACTTCACAACAGCAACTAGATTAACTATCTGTAGTGAAAAGGTTTCAAATCCTTCTAAATATCCAACAGAAAACAAAGACAGGCCCAGCTGAACTGATGCCCAAAAGTTTACCAATTTTTCTATTAAAAGAGGGGTATGTGTTTTAGTTTGTCAAATACCTGGTTCTCTACTTCCCACGACTTTTAGTGGTCTTTCTCTCAGTACTAAAAAGAGTTTGGCCGTCAGGGAAAGGTTTGAGTAAGAACACATGGAATAAGAGCTGAAGACAGCAAGTCCAAAGCAACAACAGCACTACAGAAAACAGCAATGCTGGCAAGGGAAAAAAAACCCAAAAGACTTACCTATGATCACTACAGGCAGTGATTTGAACCCACTCTTATTTTGGGGTCTGTTCAACAATGCATACATCTTCCTGTCCGGAAGCATTTAGGTCCTGGAGTCTGCCTATAAAAACAAGTAAGTTTTGAATTATTTGCTTTTTTTGACAGAACACGTGACTTTATAGCCCACAAACCCAGGCTGATCTAGAGTATTACCCTTGCATTGCAGACCATCACATTACACTTCCACACTCAGGACAAGCCTGCTTATCTTTTTCTCCTCCTGCCCACAAAACCAAAGGATGATTCCCTGATTACACCATTAAAGAGGGAGAGGACCCTTATCTTTCTCTTCCACACACAAATTCCAGGCCCTCCAGAACAGCTGGCGACTTCAGTAACCCTCTGCCTATAGTAACTGATGTGTTGCAGCTTGTTAAAGAAAGCTTCAATTCTGCCCATACTGTGTAGAAAAATGTTATTGCCATAATTGTCATGAATGCCTTGTACTTTTTAAATAGACTTCTGCATTTAATAATAATTAGAGCAAACCTCACTCAAGACTTCTGTCCAAAGACTGGAAATCTCTTGGCTGCATTTTCAAATATGTGCCATTCCATCACTAAAGGGGTTTTGATAAATGCTAGTTTAGTGCCTGAACCTTCTTTCTTAATTTTCCGGAAAATAGAGAGTTTTAGGTCTGAACAAATAAGTAACAAGTCTTTAAACAAAATATATAACAGATTTATTATCTTGGAGTCTAAAGTGTCAGAGTGGTATCTACAAAACTCATTTGATTGTTGTGCAGATATTCAATGCACAGCAAATCAAAGTTTTTGCCATTCCTGCAGGAATCTTAGCATATCAAATAATGACTACTTTAGTTTTCCAGGGAATTGAACTATACTGTCACTAATCTGGAGAAGCGAAAAAGTTATTTTTACCACAGTACAAGTGAAATTTTCAAAATTCAGTATAAGCTTTTAAGGTATTCTACAGGGAACACAGTCCTTTCTAAAAAGATTACTCTCATTTTAGAAAGCTAAGTAAAAAAATCTACTGAATGGCATGACTTTGTTCAGTAGGGCATGCTTTCCACGCCCTTTTCAAGCACAGGAAGACCTTTGGTAAGCACCCTGCAAACTTCCCTAAGGTCTGGCACATCACTGCCTTTGGCACAGGTATTGCAGCAAATGTCATCCTACAAGTGTAATGCTCCGCTTTAAGCCTGACATTTACATCACCAGCAACTACAGTAATGCAGTAAGACTGTGGTGAATGAATGAACGGCCAGAAAACCACATGTGAGTTTAGGATTTGCAGAATCCCAGGCTTCAGGAGGAGTCTTGCAAATGCATTTGCCTGCAAGGATGTGACAGTTCATACACAGCCATCGCTGTGCTAGACAGAGCTATTCCAAGAGGACTGGGTTCATCCAAACAGAGGCACATAAGGCTTACAAGTTGTATTCAAAACTAGCAGCTTTGTGCATATTTTTGGATCACGGTTTAGTAACACGGGTTGCCTATTACCACTTAACTGAGCATTAGCCTAAGACTCTCACACGTTTTGCCAGAGAGGGCATGAACCACTTAAAAGACCTAAGAGTCATGCTTTCTAATTTAAGTCATTTCAAGCATCTAGCTTTGAAGGGCGCTGATTTCAAGGAACCTTAGGTTCCCAGTTTAATTGAGACTCAAAGGTAGATGCATACACAACAGAAGATGAACACTTCTGCGTTTTGTGTCCATACACCCCTTAAGGTTTATTTAACCCAACCCTGGTAGCTGCAGGAGCACAGCTTAACTGCCCAAGTATTTCTCCAGCTTTTTGGGTAGGTTCTACCACAGGAACCAAAGCCTGCACCACCTTCAGCAGATTGCTGTGTAAATTTATCTCCAAATAATTCCCTACCACAAAGCTCCGGAGTTGCAATTGCTAGAAGTCAGCACTAGCACCTGGCATGACCAGAGACTCCAAAGGAACAGGACACTGGTGTGACTGCTAAGGTATTCCCCTCAAACCACTTAAACCACAGTACCTATCTGCAGAGATTTCTTCTCTATGGTAACAAAGAGTAACAAACAAATCCCTCTCCATGGCTGTAATATGGAAGACAACAAGCTCACATGAAGTTTTCCTAGCAGAGTGCGCATCTTATTTCTGTGAAACTACTGAGAGTCTGGAAGAGGGAAGCAAGATCTCTGAAAGCAATCTTCCAGGTTTCTGCTCCATAGCACTCTTGCAGCAGCATGCACAGAAAGACTGTATGCACTCTGTAGACAGTGGTAACCCAGCAACATCCCTGGGATTTTTGCTGGAAGCAAGGACTACTGAACCAACCCAGCACAGCACATGGCAACAGTTCTAGGAGAGCATATAAATAACAATCCTGCAAGCCTGTTTGTAAGACTTGGGCGCAAAGTCATGCCGTTGTGTGCCAGCATTTTGTTGGGGGAGCCTGAAGGGGACAAAAAGGCACAAGACAGTAGAAGTCAGCCTGGCAGTCTTGTTTGCTTTAGAGGAAGGTTGCCTTGGCTCCTGGCCATTGCACTATGCCACCCTACCCCACCCTGATAGAGAACAAAGCCAGCAGCCAAGGGCTCCGTGATAACACTCTCCTCCGCCATTCTGTACTTTCTGACACATGAAAAAGGAGCATTTGTTTGAATTAAACCAAACCCTAATGGCTAGAGGAACGCAACTGATATTCTGATGAAATATATCCATGCACATTCATGACCATTTTTAGCCATGGTTTTATTCAGGATCTGGGTTCACAAAACCCCATAATGACCCATTTTTGTGCTACCCGCTTTGTTTCCTGAAGTTTTGGCACTGGACAATTCTATCAACACAAGATTAACCATCAGAGATGCTTCTGTTTATCCTAGCATGTGTCTACAAATGGGAGAAGTCCCCTCCACATCCTATAGCTGCCATCTTTAATTCATAGTTAGTAATTCTTTAAGTAGAAAGTGAACCAGATGCTGAACCTGTTTATAGCTACTCCCATCCTGTAGGCTAAATGTTTGACTTCTAGGGGCAAAACTGAGCTCAGAGCACCTCAGGCATTTCAGTTGCAGGCCAAATGTTCACTTTTCCTGCTATTATAAATGGGATTTTTTTTTTTTTTTGCAATCTTGGAATCAAGGGACCACATATACCTTGATAACCTGTACAGCTAATACAGTGTAGCAGATGAAAGCCTGTTCTTGCAGAGGCTATTGGAAAGCATACAGGACATTGAAGTTCATTTCGAGTCTATACAGAACTAGTTAGCAGCAAGAGAAAGCCTGAGCTAGAAAGCAAGCCAAGACTGCACTTCTCACCCTCCTTTTATGTAGAGTAGGCTGCTAGGCACTCATGCTTAGTCGACTTGGTGACACTGATCCCTGTTTTGGCTCCTGCTTTAGGCTTCCTACTTTAAATGGGTGTCTCTCTCCTCCTCTTCATTTGGGAGCATGCTGCAGGCTCCACAATTTATCTCCTTGCTGCTTCCAAAGTATTTCAGTGTCTATGTGATGTTACATAATTGTTCTGGCTTGGAAAAGCACCCAGCTCTTTCTGGGCCAAACTCTGCATACCTTCCTGACACAGTCTGAAGCCTAGAGGGACTATAGCTCACAAAGTCGGTCAGCGTGGCCCCTAGTAGTTGCAGGCTGCACAACTGAAACAGGTTTTAAGCGAGTAAAAGAAAAAGCAAAAATGCATTTAGCAAGACAATGACACTGAATGACCTTTAGCAGAAACAAAAAGCCAAGTTACATCAGCCACATCAAGTAGCTCTCCCTATAACGTCAGGGAGACTTTTGCTCAAGTAAGGACCACGAAGTGTGGCCTCTACAGCACATGGGGAGAGTTCAAAAGAGCAGCGCAGACAGTACATATAAATAATAGAAAAGACTGAAAGAGCTACCATGACACTCAGGTTTAAACAAGAACAATACTAACACAAATGCAACAGTTTTCTTCAGCTTTTCTTTGTCAACCCATTCATTTAATCAGCAGTTTTTAAAATTAAACTCATTAATGCTTTTAAAAAAACAGAAATCTCAATAGCTTTTACATTTTATACTTGCCTACAAGTTTCAGAAGTTTATTCTTCCCCCTCCACTTGCATTATCACTCTTACATGCCAGGCCAGTAACTCCACAAAGTATGTGGAAAAAAATTAATCTCTATAGTACACAAAAATAATACCTTTCTAAAAACACCCCTGTGATATTCATAAAGCAATGTTATAGTATGCCAGACCAAGCTCTCTACATTTACTTACAGCCCTCTTACCTTTACCAGCAGGTCTGATGAGAAGTGAGATCTTTATGAAAATGCCTGTACAGTCAGGAAAGCCAACCAAACTACAAGCCTTGAATCCTGCCTCTGCTCTAAGACAGCTGTTTAAATATAGTACGTTACCAGCACTAAGAGAGGAGAGGAGGAGCTGAAATGAATGGAGGCGGAGCAAGGAAAATTCTTATAAGCATGAGTCAGCAAGAATATTTCCCTTCCCAGCTTGTGAATGAATGATGTAGTGATCTTCCTTAGTAACGTTCAGCTGACTAGATGACTACAGTGAAAGCATGGCTTATAGGAGCCGTGCATGGCAGAAGTCCTGCATTGAACAAATATCTTCATTTTTAACCCTCAGGACAAATTAAAACCTAAGACTTCATAAAATGCAATGCTTCCTGTGGCAGAACTAGGTTTTTCCTCTGTATTTAAAAGAAAAACTGTTAGTTATAATTACAGGTGGGAACAAGAGCGATAGGATAACACTGTTCGCTTGTTTTAAAACCAGTGATCTTTTGGCGACAAAATGACAAGAAAATGTGATGACTTTCTTCCCACTTTGGACAGTTTGTAGTTTTAGTTTAACCTTATTATTATAGCATAGCTGTAGTGGGTCTGAAAATACAGATTTCAGTTTATATTTTTTTTCTTCAGCGAGATGAAGTGTTATAAACCTGTTGCACAGTAGCAGTAAAATGAATCAGACTGCTTCCCATTAAACTTAAAACATACCAGGATGTTCATCCAAGGTATCTTACTTCAATTCAGTGGAATAATCGATCAAGCTTGCTAAATTTAAAGTGCCATTAACAA